TTATACTTTTGATCTGTGCAGTGTTTTTATTCAATCAAGGAAGCCATCCAGTAAAGGTGCAAGAAGAATTGAACTAATTAGCGAGGCACAGGACACTTTCAGTTCTAGTTTATAAAACTTGAAGTAGCTCACAGTGTCGCCCCTGACATGGGTTATGTGGTTTACCTTACCTGTACCTAGTCCTAATGCTAGTTAGCAAGATTACGATTTGCCTTCGGCTAGCTAACTACTGCCAGAAAAGGAGTACATTTTGTATTTAATGTTTCCTTCCTTTTATATCGTCTATATGACCCCCTTTGTCACGTTCAGCCATTGACGTGACGTGCAGCCATGCATGCAACACAGAGACTCTGAATTTTTTTCTTCAATAAAATCAAGAGAATTAAGCAGCACAGTGGCTCAGTGGGTAGCATAGTTGTGTTGGACCTGCAAGGTTGGGGTTTGTGAGTGTGGCATTTTCATGTTCTCCTGTTTTGTGTTTTTCGTTCTGTAGGCCAAAAACCAGTTAGGTGAACTGGAATCACTAAATTGCCCAAAGCGTAGGTGTGTGTGCTGCAATGGGCCAGCACCTTACTCGAGGTGTTCCCCTGCCTTGGGGTTAGTTTCAGGCTCACTGCAGGCTGACGCTATAGTCGATAGCCATTAGGAAGATGAATGAGTTCACTGTCAGTCAATGGAAATAAACATTAGCCTGCAATGATTTTATCACTGAATAATTACCTACATAGCTCATGAATAAAAAGTAAAGCTTCATTAACTGGTAAATGCCATTAAACTGGCGTTAACCAAATTGTTGCATGAAAGAAAAAAATATATATGTCTGTACACATATTCTCTCTTTATTTATTTATATACACTACCATTCATGAGTTTGGGTTCACTTAGAAATGTCCTTGTTTTCCATGAAAACATACATGAAATGAGTTTGAATATGAAATACAGCTAACTAAACAGGAAATTGTCATTGACAAAAGGTTGTTTAAAAATAATTTTAGAAATTAAAATAATAATTGTCTTCTTCAAATTTTGCTTTCATTTGTATTCGTCAAAGAGTCCTCTATTTGCAGCAATTCCAGCCTTGTAGACCTTGGGCATTCTAGATGTCAGTTTGTTGAGGTAATCTGATGAGATTTTACCCCATGCTTCCTGAAGCATCTCCTGCAAGTTGGATTGGCTCAATATAGTTGAGATCTGGTGACTGTGCTGACCACTCCATTATACACAGAACACGAGCTGACTTCTTCTTCCCTAAATAGTTCTTAAATAGTTCTTGCATAGATTGGAGCTGTGTTTGGGTCATTGTCCAGTTGTAGGATGAAATTGGCTCCAATTAAGCACCGTCCACAAGGTATGGTATTGCAAAATGGAGT